GAAATTATGTGTTTTTTTAACCTTAAACCACATAAACACATTTCATTACACCAAACACACAAAATAATGTTATTTTTAGCAACGTCATATGACCACTTTAAAACATTTCGCGTTCTATAGATATATTTCTCATGTCTGTGAGGCAACGGAGTTTCGGTTCATTTTTGACACACTCAAGTTCACAGGAACAGAGACGGCAGAAATAGTATCCTGTTTGATTCCATTATTTTATAGCGCACAACGTTTAGTTGTTATTGTGAGTGTACACAAACAAATGTAGACCCTTAACAGATTCGAACGATGTAATTAATCTTGTCTGTATGACCAAAAATTACGGATTGTGATCGCGCCGGTGCCTCTATGTTAACTGTCATGCAGTATAAGCGCACCCCTTTTCAGCTTCCACATTCCGCACAAACACTTGAAAGTGCGCACATTTAATATAGACATTATAGATGTACAGTAGATGTTAAATGTGTAGCAATATTCATGCAGTTAACTTAAAAAAAAATACTTGTGGGGGGTGGGTGGCGAAACCTTTTAAACTGTTTAACTGATAGTATTAATCGGTCAAAATTCTTACTTGCGGTTAACGGTTAAATGATTCATATGAACATCCCTAATCCTGCATGAAAGTTCAATAACACATCTGACAATCGCCGATTTGTGCTTCTGGTGCAGTACACACCGTACGTAGGACAAGAAGGGTTTCTGGTAACTATTCATGAAATGACAGACTGTAAAGCTGCATGTGTGTGAACTGTGAAGGCCTGGTAAAGCACATACTTTATGAGTAACAAGAATGTGGAAGTACACACAGACTCTCACCTCTGACACACACACACACAGTCAGTACACAAGGGTTATCAGCATAGGCAGAGTTTGGGGGCTGCCGGGGGTACAGTGCCCGTCCAGTGGCCAGAGTCAAAGGTTTTATCAGGCTGTACTAAGCCTTCTTTTATTTTCACCCTTTGACTTAAACTTTGCTGTTTTGTTTGTTTGTGTTCCAGTTGGCTGTGCACAAGAATCACAATACAACTTTTAATCATGTGATACATATTTTTTCAGCAATTGTGATTCCCGATTGCATTAAATCCTGCATGTGCATTAAACATTATGTGTAAAAGTGGGTTAGTTCACCCAAAAATGAAAATTACACCATGATTTACTCACCCTAGGCGCATGACTTTCTTGTTTCAGACAAATACATTCAGAGTTATATAAAAAATTGTCATGGCTCTTTCGAGCTTTATAATGGCAGTGAATGGGGGTCGAGATTTTGAAGCAAAATAAAGTGCATCCATCCATCATAAAAAGTGCTCCACACGGCTCCGAGGGGTTAATGCTCCGGGTGTGTGTTCACTACTGTGTGTGTGTGTGTGTGTGTGTATGCACTTGGATGGGTTAAAGGGGACATATCATGAAAATCTTACTTTTCCAGGTTTTAAGTGCTATAATCAGGCATCTACCAACCAAGGAAACGTGAAAAAGATTAACCCAGTAACTTTGTTTTGGGAAGCCTTTTTCTGCAAGCGTCTGAGAAAACGAGTGGGTCTGATTTCGCTCCCTTGGTGAGATGTTTTTAGCAGATATTCTGGAAAAGGGGGCGGGGAGCAGCAGCTCGTTTGCATTTAACACATAAAATTCATTTGTACAGTCCCGAAAAACAGCGTGTTTCTGCTTCCACTCAAAATAGGCATTTTCAAAATTATATAATAAATGATCTGTGGAGTATTTTGAGCTGAAACTTCACAGACACATTCTGGGGACACCAGAGACTTATATTACATATTGCAAAAAGGGGCATAATATGTCACCTTTAAATGCAGAGCACAAATTCCGAGTATGGGTCACCATACTTGACAGACTTCACTTCACTCACTCACTAAATGCAATCTGAAGTGAAGCAAAGCAAAGTGTTTGTGTAAGAAAATATCCATATTTAAAACTTTAAAAACCGTAATCTCTAGTTCCTATCAAAAGCTACACTCGATGTTGCATTTCATTAACACTAATGAGAACATTCTTTGTTCGACTGGTTGTGAAGCATGTGTGTCAAACACGCCAAGAATTGGCTTAAATTACCTCGGTCGGTGACGTCACTGGAATGCGTGCACCTGAGAGGTTATAAATAGACATGAAACTGTCACATATCCAGGTTTCTTTGTCTTCAGAGACCGCTTTGTGTGTGTGTGTGTGTGTGTGTGTGTGTGTGTGTGTGTGTGTGTGTGTGCTACACTGCTGAAAGCAGTATCAACCACGAGAAAAAAATAATAAGTTGAAAGTGAAAGTTAGTTTATTAATCATGTCGAGTGAATCTGCAAAGAGATGCGTGCCTCCCTCACGGCCCATCTCTGAAGAGGACTCTCATGAGTATTATTTGGAGAGTTTGGGGGAAGAGCACGCTGCTCTCTGCAATTCATTTCCTATTCGCGTGCTTCGCTTTAGGCTCGCTTTCTAACCGCCGCGCGTGAAAAACTTGATTGTAATTGTATCTGCAGTCCTATTGGATATTACATTTAAAGTTTAGATATTTTAAATGTACTTAATTGCAACATCATCATTACAATGTGAAATTACAAATAGATTTAAATAGATGGCATTCAGGTTTTAATAGACATGACATTTAAATATATTTTAATTTTCCATAAATGCCAAACTTGTAAGCGTTAGTCCAAAACTAACACTTACAAGTAAAATTTGGCTTTGGCAAACATTATGAGCAACATAATGTATGCTTTAAATAAACTGTATGACAAACACTGAACTTTTTCTCTTTGTAATCTGATGTAAATGATGTAAACTGATCAAAGCAAAGATATACAGAACTCAGCACTGTCACCTAAAGAGGTGAAACTAACTCATGCAACAACTTTTAACGTTGTGGAAAATTTACGATTGGGAAATTTATCTAGGATGCCTTCAGTTTTATGACAGCTAGTGTTATCAGCAGTGTGAAGGGATGCACAATCGGATAAACCTTTAACAGATCTATAGAGAGATTAAACCACACAGCAAGTTCTTACATAAGCGGCTCTGACTCAATGCTAATTACCTTTTCTAAGGGTTAGGAAAAAATGTTTTGTAGGATGGGTATTAGTTTACGAGTTAGTAATTTGTTTAGGCAAATCATAATATTTTTCCCTAATTATCTCACAACTCACAGAAGGATGCCAAAAGTTATCATATGAATATAAACCTGTAAAACAGAAATTGTTATCAACTATAAAACATAACTGGGTGGATGACACACCTGTTTCTTTTCTCCATCCTTGTCGTCGATGTAAGACAGAATGAAATCTATCCTCCGTACGCCATCTCTGAAGTACACGGAGTCCTTGCTCTGCTGCTGCTTATCTACCTGCACACAAACATTTATTTTAACAAAGTCGAGCTTTTATGTGAAGTACTGAAGCTTCATAATGTTTTCTAACTCTTGAAACCCTTGAAATGGTAATAAAGCTAATCCATGCATGATATGAAGATACCGTATAAAAAAACATCATCTTAATGAAACAGAACTGGGTGCTTGTTCAGACACTGTGATATTGTCTATATGTAATGAAGGCTTATTCATTATTAAACATGACAGTCTTACTGCAGTTTCAACATTTCAAACCAGTTCATAACAGTCTGTTGTCTAACTCCCACAAAAACAATACAAGCATCCTGCCACACACACACACACACACACACACAGGCTTCATGCGTGTATAAAACCTGAACAAATACATCAGCATAAGCTGCATGCTATAAAAGCCAGACTCGATGCAGTCACATTTAACGATGTTCAGCAAATTTTTGTGGGCGAAATCCAGTCATTTCAATAGAATTCTTATCAAATTGGGAATCTTGAGTGGAAAGATTTGCAGATTTTGCACCAGGTTTAAGTTGGTCACGTAATTTCGCGTGACTTCTTTATGAGCTGTGCTTCATGCATGGACATATTTTTACCTGTCAAATCTCACTAATGTGACCGCACCTTTACTCAAATGATGATGCATTTGTGTCTGAAGAACTTTTAATGTTCAACAGAGGTCATGCATTTACTAAGCTTGTTGACACCAAGAATGATAATATATGATTATATATATATAACGATAACTGTATTAGTGTCTACATCCACGGATAATATATATATATATTTTTGTGTCCAAAATATATTTTAAATATACGCTGAATATATGTTGTAATCTGTGAAGCTCAATTAAATCTTTTTTTTTTTTTAATAGAAAATATATTTAGTTTCAACCCTCATATACCAAAATATATTTAAAAATGTCAAAAAGTCTTACAGTAGAATAAATGCAAATATGGACAATCTACAGTTGTAGTTATAATTTTACATACACTTTACAGTATCTGCAAAATGTTAATTATTTTACCAAAATAAGAGGGATCATACAAAATGCATGTTAATTTGTATTTTAGTAGTGAAGATATTTCACATAAAAGACGTTTACATTTAGTCCACAAGAGAAAATATAGCTGAATTTATAAATATGACCCCGTTCAAAAGTTTACATACACTTGATTCTTAATACTGTGTTGTTATCTGGACGATCCACAGCAGTTTTTATTTTATTTATTTATCTATTTATTTATTTATTTTTATTTTTTTGATAGTTGTTCATGAGTCCCGTGTTTTTCCTGAACAGTTAAACTGCCCGCTGTTCTACAGAAAAATCCTTCTAGTCCCACAAATTCTTTGGTGTTCCGGAATCTTTTATATCATACAAAATGCATGTTAATTTGTATTTTAGTAGTGAAGATATTTCACATAAAAGACGTTTACATTTAGTCCACAAGAGAAAATATAGCTGAATTTATAAATATGACCCCGTTCAAAAGTTTACATACACTTGATTCTTAATACTGTGTTGTTATCTGGATGATCCACAGCAGTTTTTATTTTATTTATTTATCTATTTATTTATTTATTTATTTAGATTTTTTTGATAGTTGTTCATGAGTCCCGTGTTTGTCCTGAACAGTTAAACTGCCCGCTGTTCTACAGAAAAATCCTTCTAGTCCCACAAATTCTTTGGTGTTCCGGAATCTTTTATATATTTGGACCCTTTCCAACAATGACTGTATGATTTTGAGATCCATTTGTCACACTGAGGACAACTGAGGGAATCTATTACAAAAAGTTCAAACAGTCACTGATGCTCCAGAAGGAAAAACCATGCATTAAGAGCCTGGAGGTGAAAACTTTTTTCATAGTTGTATGGGTAACAAACAGTTGCCGGTCCCATGAAAATACTTTGGAAGTCAATTGGGACCAGAAGGTGTTTGGTTACCCCCATTCTTGAAAATATCGCTCATGTTCAACAGTAGAAAGAACAACTTGAGGGTGAGTAAATAATGACACAATTTTCATTTTTGGGTGAACCCAAAAACCCAAACCTTTAACGGTAACCCAAACCCAACATTTATTATTTCAGTATTTATTTATTTTTCATTGAATTTATTTTTCCCATAGAAAACATTTATTGAAGTTATAGAAGTTTTATCATGTTTTTGTGAACTTCCAGGGACAGTTTTGTCCGTAAACTACGGCAAATCTGTACACACTTTCACTAAACCTCGCCACCCAGCTCAGTTGTGCGCAACCCGAGTTCGAATCCCAGCTGTTGGTTCTTTCCAACCCCATCCCCCTCTTTCTCTCCATAATACTAGTGGCAAAAATTAAAAATATAATCTTAAATGTAATACTGAATACTTAGGTAGAATTAGCCTGAAATGGCAGCCCCGTAACTCTCTTCCTCTCCTACAGATCAGATTATACAGCAGTGTGTTTGCTCCCACCTGCTGTTCAGGACAGTCTGACTGTCTCTCAATCCAAACAAATACAAAGGCCTCTTCAGAGATACACACGTCTTCAACACCAGGCAAGTGTCTTGAACATCTTTGTTAAACCGTATTTTAATCACAGTTTACTGTTTAATAGTTGCATGACAGCACTGACCTCAGATCAGCCCTGAGAGGCATATTCACCCCAATGACACTGGCCAAAGCTAAACAACTGCAGGATTCACTCAGAGCCAGGAAAATACCTCACCAGGCCTGCCAGTCTGCAGCTGTTCTCCAGCAACTAAAAATAACTTACATACAACGCATAACACAAACAAATGCAGCCGCTGAACACAAAGCTAGCCCAGGACGTAAAACACCTCTACATTCTCTCACGGCCACTTCCAGAGATGTGACCAAGCCAAACAACATTTCTCTGAGGTTTAACCGGCAAACACCGCTGATTTTCTTAGGCTGTTTCTACAAACAAAACCTCCAGATGATTACCAGCAGCCTACAGCTGACGCTTCCCTACTAGAGAACACGACTAAGGAATACACACCAACATCCATTAGTAAACGCAATTACCGTTAGCCATCCATAGTAATGTCAGGACCCCTGAGTATTAAATTCCCCAGAGATCTTCCTCCGTTATTACACAAACAGCAGACGGGAGATGGAAGGAAAAGAGAGAAATGGAGAAAAAAGAAAGACTTTACCTCAAATCTATCTATCAAGTGCTGCATCATTCAAGATTCTGGGAGTCTCCGGAGATGGAGACCACCTCCCTTCTTACAACAGCCCAGCTAATCGGACACATAAACACACACACACACACACGCTCTGCAGAGCAGCCCTCCTTTAAAGGGGTCATATGATGCGATTTCAAGTTTTCCTTTCTCTTTGAAGTGTTACAAGCTCTTGGTGCATAAAGAAGATCTGTAAAGTTGCAAAGACTAATGATCTTTAAAATAGCATCATATGACCCGTTTAAGATACACACACGACCAGTCCTTAACAGAGCGGAACAAGAGAGACAGAGAGACAGAGAGCAGGGGGCTCACAGAGATGACATCATCATCGTGGCAGCAGGGCGGACGCCGTATGTAATCACAATGTCAAACTAGATTTGAACACGTTCTGAAGGAAACAGGAGCGGTGCTGGAGTGTTATGGGTTGCTATTGCAACTTTGCAGTTCCTGAGATTTTTTTTTAGCCCGTTGCTATGGAGTTGCTAGGGTATTGTTTGGTGACACTGTATTGTGCTTTGCTGATTGCAATGTATTATTTTATTTCAAATTCTGTTCTTTCCAGCCTTATTTTTCCTTTTAATACAGATTTCTATAAACTTAATTTTGTTTCCTTTCTTATTAATTTTTATGCTCTTAAATGATTTTAATCTTGACTTTTGTGTTCTTATCTTTTTCTTTAACCTGTTAACTGTCAGTGTCTCGCTAGCTATTTTTTATTGCCTTTTTCGCCATCACATATTTTAGTAATCATCCTAAATTAGATATCACTCAAAATTCATCCTGTGAAAACTGTTCTGAAATCAGACACTGCATTACCATGGAAATGGACATTTAAAACCTTTTACCGAGCTCCTCCCCATAGTGGGCGGTGTCAACTCTCATATTAGAAAATTTACTACAATATTTTATAATCAAAACACTTTTTCTAATCTTGACAAAACACTGTTGCATAGGTCCTCAGGGTTCCATATTTAGTGACTAGTTTGTGACTGAAGTAGTACTGTTATAAATGTATAAATTCGTGACAGGAAAATGCATAAAACAATTCTCACAGGAACCTCAATTTTTGTGATATCAACTTTAAATTTGGAACATAACTTAGTTAGCCATATGGCTTTGCTTTTATAGCATGTTTTATAGCAATATTTAATTAGTTACATAAAATAAAATGTTTCGTACAGTACATTTTCTTTACAGTAAATTTAAACTTCTAATACTTTTTATACTTTTTTTTTAAATGCTTTCACTTCAGCAATAATTCACTGATTGTCTTCTTTAAAAGATCACCAATTTTAGATCTGTGTTCCAAATCATTTAAGAATTACAACTATTTAAGTTTGGGTATCAAAAAGTGTGTGTGTAGGAAATGTGCTATATGAATACACATGCTTTGTCTTCTGTGTGGATGCAAGTTGTTGTTAGGGTGTTGCTATGTGGTTGCTAATGGTGCGTTCAAGTCATGTCGGATAGATCGTATTTACGAGTTGAACGCACATGAACGCCACCACAAAGTCGTTATTACGAGTGGGAAACTCGAAATTTTCTTTAAGCCCCGAGTTTCCGAGTTGGGGGCGTGTCAATGACAACCATGGCGGAATCGATGGATGCAACAAATTTTTGTTTAAACTGATAGTTTAGTTGTCCTAAAAACTTAAATTGGTCATGTTCTTGTTACACAGCTAGTTAATGAAATCCAAGTAAAAAAAATGCTATAATTTTTGTTCCTATAGGTGAAAAATCTTTTGATTTGCCATGTTGCATGTTGCATTTAGCTAACAGCTTTTTTTAATCTCTGTATTTTAGCATTTGTTGATGCTAAAATTCATTTATACTGGGATCCTGGTCTAAAAAAATATTAAAAACGCAAAACACACCTGATGCGAATTCTTTGCTCTTCATTTTCTATAAGCAGAGTTAACAGACCCTGTTGTATTTTCTTGTAATTTATTAAAAGAAGGTACACCGCCATCTTGTGCCGACTAAACTGACTTGAACGCACCTGACGTCGTAATTACGACTTGTCAACTCATAAGTGCGAACGTCCCAGGAGGACTTGAACGCAGCATAAGGTCATTTGAGTGTTTTAATACATTGTTTTGTGTTTACTATGATGCTCTGGGTGGTTACTAGGGTGTTGTTATGTGGTTGCTGGGATGCTCTAGGACATTGGTAGGGGACTGCAGGTAGTTACCGGGGTGTTGCTATGTGTTTTGTGTTGTCAGGTGGCTGCTAAGGTCTTTTTTTTTTAGCATGTTTTTAGCCACAGTATGTTCCTGTTACGCATTGAAAGGTGATTGTCGTGGAGTTTTTGTGTGGTTACAAAGGAGCTATGGATGTTTCTTAGCACCTTGTTATGTTATTGCAAGTGTGGTTGCTATGTGGTTGCTAAGGTCTTTTGAGCAATATAATGCATTGTTTTGTGGTTACTATTGTGCTGGGCTAAAGAGACCACCTTCAAGGCTATGATATACTAAATGTAAATCCATTTGACATAATTGATTAAGTAAGTCAGTAAAATGGACAGAACAGTCAAATGTAGGTGAACAAACCTATTAAGCTGAGCTATGAACACAATGAGCTGAGCAATACAATTTTCCACATCGATGCTATCTCTACTGTCATTTGCATGTCAAACGAAAAATTCATTTACAGATCGTGACATTTTCAAAAGCACTAAACCTCAGCATCAAAGAGTCACAGCAGCATGTAAATAATAAGGCCTGAATCTGATTCACTCGGTCTTTCTCACATCTATCTCATACGTTTCCAATATCTTTTTGTCCAACTTCTGGCATCATTTACTCACTCACATCATGTTGTTCACTATATGTACTATAATATCTTCCTGCTGTGGTGTAAATGAATGATGGCCGAAATGTATTGTTTGGGTGAACTGTCCCTTTAAAAGTGATGTAGCCTGATCCCTTTGTAAACAGATCTCACTGGCACACATAGAAATACTCTTCTGTGCAAACATCTTCTAAATTAACATCCTGCTGTCTCTCTACTGTGAGCAGGAGTCTGTTTGACCTGGCAGAGCAGCTGCTGTTCTTTCACTACAGGTCTCTCCCTCTTTCATTTCCTGTAATTACAAGTTGGAGATGATGCATATGAACATGTGGTTAAAAAAAGCAGGCAATAATAACCATACACTCCTGCGCTGACATATAGAGTAAGTATATGTGTGGTTAAGTAAATCGGGCTGGGACTGAATGAGCTGCACAGCCTTCAGCTATAGAAAACTGCATCTCCAACACAAATATATAATTATGTAACATGACACAATTAGAGACTCAGACTCTATAAAAAACACAGCTAATGAACATGATGATGCTTTTATGTCCACAGACATTTTATCATACAGGGAAGGAAATGTAGTCTTTATTTAAAGACTGTTTCTCATGTGGCTAATAATCTTTAATGTTAAGGAAGTTTCAAAAATCAAGGTAAAATAAATCAATTTAAGCTCTCTAAACTGTTTTCAACACTCTCAGAAAAAAAGGTACAAAAGGTACCAATATTAAGGTACCAATATGGGCTCTTTAGGTACAAAGGTGTGCCTTTTGAAAAGTACTGCCCCAGTGACAGCTTTTGTACCTTTTTTTTGAGTGAATAATGGACATTCTTTAACATGAAACTGTTTGTTCAGAAAACTTTATTAGGCTAGCCTGACCGAACTTTGGGATAAAATTGTGGATTTAAAATGTGTATTTTTTTAGATTTTCTAAATATTTTCTTAAAAAGCTTTAATTTTACTAAAATTATAGCACACTTCTCCTCAAAAAGCCACATGACTTCATTCATTCATGCCTGTAGCACGAATGGTGCAGGATGAGTTACATCCTGAAGTTTAATACTTATGGCTATTTATTTAAACAAGCCTCTAATCCTAAAATAAAGTATTAGCAACAGCAATAGTAAACACCACGTAGCAAACACGACCGACCCAATACATACAGATGGATAAAATTAGGTCCCACCCTAGTCACCTTTATTTCATTAATTTCCCACATAATATTCAGTTTGACACACTCGTTAAGTCACATTACAGAAGCCGATCATGTTGCCATGCATTTCATGTTTCCCAATACAATACAATAGCATAATAAAATCTAATATGATTATATGCAAGATGCTCAGTCCAAGCAAGCACACACATGGACACAGTTCAGCCCTCTTTACCGTGGCGTACCCTGGAGCGGTACTTCAGAAATAAAGCTCTCTTTCTCCAGATCTGTGGATGAATCGAGCATGTTGTGAGGATAAAGACACTGGTATACACACAAAGCACACAACTGTCAATGACAGGTCTATGACATCCGCTCACACTACACAAACCATCCGGGCGAAAGTCCATTTGATATTCATCTGTTACTAATTTATTTCAGAATGCGTTATTGTAATAATGAAGCCAGGTGAACTCTATATAAAAAAAACAAAAAAAAAATCTGATAAGCATGTTATCAGCAGCAATATAGTGATATTACTCAAAGTTTGAGTCATCAACAAGTCATCAACAAAAGCAGAAGTGAGTGAATGCCCATTGCTATGAGCATCTAAAATAACAGGACATACAAACACTCTCGTCGTGTGAGTAGAGAAAAACATAATGTTAATTAGAGTTGCACTGATACTGAATTTCTCTGCCGATAGCGATAGTTTGATTTTCTTAAAGGGGTCATATGATGCTGCTAAAAAGAACATTATTTTGTGTATCGGCAGCCTTGAGTGAGTGGCAGCCGGCGGATTCGGCGAAGGAGTGTCCGGAGGGCTTGCAGCAACCACATGTGGCGACCCCAGGCTGGACTCCGCTTCGTCCACGGAGAAAGCCGATCCGGCGATCCACAGCGCAACGACTCTTAATGTTTATAAAGAATATCTCTTTGGATTTGAGACTTTAGTCTTTGCAACTTTACAGATCTTCTTTATGCACCAAGAGCTTGTAACACTCCAAAGAGAAAGGAAAATTTGAAATCGCTTCTAACTGATGCTGTTAACTACACAGAGAAGCTGGGTTGTTTCAAATATGGACTAAGCCAGCTGTTGGGTAAAATTTTTTAATTAAATTTTTAACCCAAAAGTTGGTTTAGTCCATATTTGACCCAAAGTTGGGTTGAAACAACCCAGCATTTTTAGAGTGTAATTATAAGTTAAAAAGCTCCTCTTTAGTGTTGTTTTATAGCTAATGAATTAACTGTGAACAGTGGACAACTTTGCTGAGGTAAATGCAACGTTTAGTGACTTAGGGCCCTATTTTAACGATCTAAACACATGATCTAAAGCGCATGGCGCAGGTGCACTCAGGGCGTGTCCGAATCCACTTTTGCTAGTTTAACGACGGGAAAA